GAGTGATCTCAGGCTCTCTGCTACAAGCCCCTCTCAGAAATTGCTGGGCAGAGAAGACACCCACCACATATTGCTGAAGGAACCGTGACATGGGCACAAGTGGCACTTTTGAGTGCACAGCCCTTGGATACAGGGCAGGGATCTTGATGCTCCCCTATGGCAGGCAGATGAAAGGTGCACAGCTTTATTCCTAATCTGCAGATGGGGAAAATGAGGTACAGAAAACACCACAACATGAGGGCACTGAAAGAACTCCTGGGCAACCTAGTATTGAAAAACTTTAGTACTTTAGTATTGAAAAACTTTAAAGCCCAGAAAAGACACTAAAAAGAACAGAACTCAGACAGGAAGAATGTAGAGTAGCTTTCAGTAAGGTGGCTGGCAAGGCTGACCTTCCTAGGTCAAGTGAAGGTGGAAAGAGCTTTTGAGGTACTTCTTCTGGGGTGGTAGAGGTCATGTCTGCACATCTTGAAGCACTGGTGTCGCCATGTGGCTCTCCGGTACTGAGATGGAAAATGTCACTCCACTCCCAGGTCAGCTTTTCAAGGGTTAAGAACCAAGGATGGGGGGCCCTCCCTGGTGGCGCAGTAGGCTGCCAAGTTTGATCCCTGCCCAGGAGGTGACCCACATGGTGCTACAGACCTCTCCTGACCCGCCCGCTGCTCCCCTCAGCAGTGTACTCAGTCAATCTGCCTGTTCTGCTCCCCGCTCTATCTCTGGTGAATCTTCTCACGAACTCTGTCCTGTACTCCAGTTCTGTATGCATATATAAATAAACCTTTAAAAAAAAAAGAAGAAGAACAACCGAGGATGGATCATGCTTAGTGAAATAAGTCAGAGAGAAAATACCTGATGGTTTCACTCGTGGCAGTAGCATAAAAGACCGTGGGGGGGTGGGGGTGGTGGTTAATAATGAACAGCTATATACTAATATACCAGAGACATTTTATAGGAGTGGGGAATGGGATCAAAAATGGCAGGGGGCAGGGAGTGCAAGGGACTATGGTGATGGCACATGGGTGATTTGGTGATGGGAAGCCCACAGGGATTACAACTGAGATGGGAAAAGGCACAAAATGTTATAAAAATAAATTATAATAATAATCTAAAAAAAAGAACCAAGGATGGGAAAGTTGTTTTAAAGTTGGAAAATGAGGAGATGGAATTTACATATTCTTGCTTAACCCAGAACTACTTGGTTGACAAAAACCAGGCAATACAAATAAAGAAGACAAAAACAACCAGGGAATTCTGGATCTTACGAGGTAGGGACAAACTGTACTCTAAAATCTGGCCCTCTAACCAAAAATGTGTATCTCATAACCATTAGCATTCTAGTGAGACAGAGAACCTAGAAATTATTTTGGAGGAAAAAACACGAAAGGATAAATATGTGTCTCAAGCAATCAGCACCCATACATTGGCTAGGTGCTGCCACTGGCCAGCAGGCCACCTGCAAGAGAGAATGGGCAGAAGCTTTGGTCAGACAAATGTGCAACCCCTGCCCTGTACCCACAAACTGTGGGACATGAGCAAGCTACTTATATCTCATGGGTCTTAGTTTCCTATTTGCAAAATGGGAATAATGGCATCCATTCTAAAGAAGATATACTTAGATCCCATGTCAGGAAGCACATGACAAAGGCAGGGAGGATCAAGAGGCCTGGGGAATAGTGAAGGAAGACAGAGCCCCTTGGACACAGGACAGACTCTTTGTCATTGAACAGAATGCTTTCCTCCAGTTACCTTATGCTTCCTACCTCAGGAGGCCACACAAGGGAGCCACAGAACAGAGAGAACACCCACAGAAACCAGAGTCCAAGTGTAGCTGATGGACACTAATATGCAGTGCTGGGGCAGATGGAGACAGTTCCTCTGCCACCCCCTCTCCGCCCCCCTCGACTCCACAAACCTACTACTAACTGCTATCCCAGCTCCAAGGATACCCTACACCTCAATCCAACCAAATCACTGCCTCCTGCTCCCACAGGTTCTAAACTACACCCAAACAGAAACCATTCTGCACTTACATGGGCTTGTCCCCTGACACCCCTCAGCTGAACTGGAAGTACCCAATAGGTCTGAGTCTCACACCTCGTCCAGAACTTCACTTGAGGAGAAATGTTGACTGACATGATGGAAGGAAGAAAACCTGGCCAAGTCTTCAATTCAATTGGCGTACAGGAAAGGAACAGGAGAAAGCACGGAAATCAGCAACCTGACCTTATCAGAGGCCAAAGGACAAAACTGTTGATCTCCTACAGTTCTACCTTCAATTTTGCTTCCACCCCAGCCCCCCAGCCCCATGTGCAAATGGCACTGGTCTTTGCCTCAAGGGGCTATCTGATGGCTCCTGGAAGCTGGGGTAAGGTCTGGTGAGCTGAGTAAAAGGCCTGTACTTGCTCTCACTGGGTGCAGGTGTCATGGGGAGAAAACAACACAGTCATACTATAGCCAGGGGTGACTACTGCTGAGAGGTGACATACTACTGTGGGAGAGGACTACTTAAGGCAGGTGGCCAGCAAAGGATTCTGGGAAGAATGACATTTGAGCTTCCCTCAGGGAGGGAAAATGCTAGGGGAAGAAATGGGGAATAGTGTTTCAGAAAGAAGGAACAGGGAAAGTCAGGACATCCTGAGGAGACAGGGAGCTGAGAATATGGGAGGAACAGAAAACTGGCAAGTGTGGCTGCAGTGTGGGTGCCAGGAGGAACACAAGGCAAGAGAAGCTGGCTGGTACCCAACCAGGTAAAGGGAATTGAAATTTTATTACAGAAAGTTTTGAGCAGGTGAACTGAATGACTTGATTCCTGTTTTCAAATCTTACCTCACAGCTGCAGAACATGGTCTTCCTTTAAAGATGACCCTTCAACAGTACAAGAACCCCTTCTGATAATCAACATATTTAAAGACATTTAAGAATCTATAAAGCACGCAATAAACATTAGTTATTGCGATCAAAGTTCAAATAAGGGCATCAAAGTTCAAATGAGGGCAATGCCAAGATTTGATAGGCAGTTTTAAAAACATTCCCCAAAAAATCCAGGAGCATTTGCTCATTAAAAGAGCCTAATAAACAGGGCTCTCCCTGGTGGTGCAGCAGGTTAAAAGCACAGCACTAAGAAGCTAAAGCCACTTCAGCATGAGTTCAATCCCTGCCCATCCCAGAGGTGACCACATGGTACAGCAGACCTCTCCAGACCCTCCCGCTGCTCCCCTCAGCAGTGTACTTCGTCAGTCTGCCTGTTGTGCTCCCCACTCTGTCTCTGGTGCTCCCCACTGTCTCCGGTGAATCCTCTCACTACCCCTGCACCTCTGGTGTGTACCCCAGTTCTGTATTCTGTATGCATAAATAAATTTTAAGAAAAAAAAAAAGAGCCTAAGCAAGTGTCACCCTACACTTGCTTACACATGAACACCCTAAAATGGAGCAACATCTGTAGGGCACTCAACAATTTACAGAGCACTTTCCTATGTGTTGCAGGAACTTGTTAATTAATAACCTCTGGTCTTTAATGTTTTTATTTTAGTGACAGTGTCAGTCCTGACAAGATTTAGCAGGTAAGCATGTCTACCTCCTTAGATCAAAACTACCATCCGCTCTCCTAGGGTCTGGCATCTTTTTTTTTTTCTTAAGATTCAGAACAGGGGTGCAGGCTAGAGGTGCAGGGGCGGTGAGAAGATTAACCAGAGTCAGAGTGGGGGGAAGAACAGGCAGACTGATGAAGTATACTGCTGAGGGGAGCAGCGGGTCAAACAGGAGAGGGCTGTTGTGCCTTGTGGGTCAGCTCTGGAGGCCGGGATAGAACTCGCACTAAAGCAGCTACAGCTGGTTTGCAGTACCTGTCCTAACCCACTGCACCACCAGGGAGGACCCAAGGGTCTGGCATTTTTAATGTTGTAGTCTCTAATCCCATATGTCCAGATCTGCCAGAGAACTAGATAATAATCAGAGAATGTATCGTTGAGTAGGGTGGGTACTTCCTGCTGCCAGACACTATTCTGAATGTTTTAGAACCTTAAGCTTCACATTACCCAATATTTTTTATATTCCCACTTTCCAAATGAGGCGACATCCAAGGACACTCAGAGTTCGGGAGCCAAGACGTGAACATAAGACTGAGACCCTGTGTCCTCCCTCTTAGCTGTGCAACATCTTTCTAGCCAAGTGCTTGATTCACCACAGGGAGTCAGCAAATAAACGCAGCTGTTAGTACTCAGGTAGTTTCTAGTTTCCACAAGAGTATCACCTCCAAGTTAGGAGAGACCTTGTCCATGGGTAGCTGCTGCGCTCCTCATACTTGGGCCCTGGCACATTTGACGGACACATAAATGAATGAACGTCCCTCCCTGAAAGAGGGCTGCCTGCGCATGGTTCCTTCTAGCTCATCTCTGTCGCGCCACTGATACTGGCCCTTAGTAAAGCATCAGGCTGATTTGAGGACACAGAAAGACGCCTGAAGACGCGCACGGTCCCCTTCACCCAGTGAAAGGGGTGATGGAGGCGGATCCCCAAGGGAGAGAAGAATGAATCCTGGATCGCAATACAGGCGGGTCCTGTTTCAGATGGGACTCAGCCTTCCACCCCGGCGGGTACACCGTAACCCCACGCCCAGCTGGGACCCTCAGGAGACAAAGACTTGCGGGGTCGCCACACCGGTGCGAATGCTCGCTCCCCTCGCCCACCTCACGGGGAGAGAGTCCCACGCCATCGTGCACCACCCTGTCTGGGAGCTGCGGCGGTGACGGGGTCGAACCCGAGCTGGGAGGACACCGACGCGGCTCCGCCCGGTCGCCACTCGCCGAGGGTCGCTCAGGAGAGGGAGGCCGCGGGTCGGGCCGGCCTGTCACCTTCAGGACTGCCTGTACGCCCGCCCAGTCGCTAGTCCTCTGCGAGGGCCCCTCCAAATTAGGTGTCATCCGGTGGCCTGACCTCCCTACGCCCGGTCTCCTGCTGGCCCTTCCAGTGCCCCTCATCCCAGCTGCCCGCAAGTCTCGTACCTGCTGGGCGAGGGGGATGAGCGGGGCAGCCATCTTCCCGCGGACTCGGGCTCCGAGCGCCGGGGACGGGGGCGGGGCCACGCGTGCGCACTGGTGCGGAGGGCGGTGCGCGCGCAGAGGACTCGGGCGGGGTCGCGGGGGGGGGGGAAGAGCCAACACCGGTCTACGCACGCGCAGTAGAGCCCGGGGAGGGTGGGGCGGGATCGGTGTCAGGATCGAGGGCGGAGTCGAGGGCAGGGCTACAAGGAACTGGGCTACGGAGAGCCGGCGGGTAAGGTTGGCCTGGGGAGACTTGGCTGAGTGTTCACCCTAGATCCAGCACCCTGACTGTCGTTTCTCAGGAGGATCTCCAAGTTCCTTTCGCCTGTTGGGTCTTTAGCTGGCAATGCTGTTCCCCTCCCCGCACCTGACACGCACTCTGGGTGGAAGATGGGGAGGGAAGTGGGGTGTGTGTGTGTGTATATATGTGTGGTGGGGGGTGCCCTCCTAGAATAGCAGGGTGTGTGTGTGTTGGTGTGTGTGTGGTGGGGTGGTGCGCTCTGGGGGTGGGAAGTGAGGGGTGTATGTGTATGATGTGGTTGGTGAGGGGTGCCCTCCTAGAATAGCAGGGTGTGTGTGTGTGTGTGGTGGGAGGGTGCCTCCTAGAATAGCAGGGTGTGTGGGTGTGTGTGTGTGTGTGGTGGGGGGGGTACCTCCTAGAATAGCAGGGTGTGTGTGTGTGTGTG